GGGGGGGGGGGTGTCAGACCTTACAGGGGCTTTGGGGGTCCCCTGGGGGCCCCCTGTGTGTTTGGGGGGGGGTCCCTTGTGGTTATGGGGGATTTAGGGTTCCCCTGTGGGTTTGGGGGGGGGATGACTCAGAGCTTAGGGGAGTTTTGGGGGTCCCTTGGGGTTTGGGAAAGGCTCTGGAGCTTAGGGGGTGTTTGGGGGTCCCCTGGGGGTCTGGGGTCCCCTGTGCATTTGGAGGGGTCCCTTGTGGTTATGGGGGGTTTTAGGGGTCCCCTGGTGGTTTGGGGGGTCCCTTGTGGTTACGGGGGGTTTGGGGTTCCCCTGTGGGTTTGGGGGGGGGCTCAGAGCTTAGCGGAGTTTTGGGGGTCACTTGGGGTTTGGGGAGGGGGCTCCTCTGTGATTCTGAGGTTTGGAGGGTCTGGGGGTTCCCTGTTTGTTTGGGGGTCCCCTAAGGACTGGGGACTTTTGGGGGTCCCTGGGCATTGGGAGGGTCTGCTGTGGGTTTGGGGGGGGCTCGGAGCTTAGGGGGGGGTTGGGGGTCCCCTGGGGGTCTGGGGGGGCCTCTGGGGGTTTGGGAGAGTCCCTTGTGGTTATGGGGGGTTTAGGGTTCTCCTGTGGGTTTGGGGGTCTCCCCTGTGATTATGGGGGGGTTCAGGGGTCCCCCGTTTGTTTAGGAGTCCCCCAAGGATTGGGGGCTTTTGGGGGTCCCTGGGCATTGAGGGGGGTCTCCTGTGGGTTTGGGGGGTGCACCCTTAGGCTGTGCCCCCCTCCCCTTCCCACCTTGGTGTGGGGCCCGAACTCCTCCAGCAGCTTCTTGAGGGGGTGCTCGTACTCCAGAACCATCTGCCCCAGGGGGGGAACCCGGGGTCGCTGCGGGGACACCGAGTTGGGGACACCCTGGGGGACACCTCCGGGCTTGGGGTCACCCCTCGGGACACCCCTCGGGACACCCCGGGGCTGGGGGACACTGGGGTTGGGACATAGGGATGGGGACACTGAGGTGGGGACATAGGGATGGGGACGGGAGTTGGGGACACCCCTGTGTGGGAGCCGAAACCCAGCTTTCAGCAAAGGAAAACAAGGGCTGACAAAAACCTCGTGATCTGAAGGAGCTGGACCCTTCTCACAAGACCTGTTAAAGTTCTACCTCATGGATTAAACCTGGCTCCAGCAGAAATCAGAAAGAACTCTTGAGATGATTGTATCAGACCATGTCTAAACCCCTTTAATCCTTTTCCCCCTATGTAATCTTGGTTAAGGGAAATATTTAACCCATTGGGCAACGGTAGTAAAAACTTGTGTAACTCCCTAATTAACATAGCTCGTCCTCCTCATTAACCTGTCCAGCCCAAGATGCCTTTAAAATCGTGTTCTCATGTTCAATAAACTATTCCAGTTCCCCCCTACTGGGATCGTGTCTAGTTTTTATTTTTCAGACCGCCACTCCCCTGGGGCCACCCCGGGGCTTGGGGACACGGGGGTGGGGACATCATAGGGATGGGAGCACAGGGGAGGGGACACTGGGGTGGGGACA